TACTTCTGAAAAGTAACTTCTCATTTTCACAAACAGAAGTAAGACTTCTCATTTTTTAACAGGAAGAAAGAGGCAGGTTTAGTAGCTGTACAGTATTGCTTTTGGTACATCTTAAATTGATGTCCTGGAGTGACAGAGAGAAACCAGTATCCATTCATTTAAACAATCAAATCAGAGACGACTTCTTTAAAAAACTTTGGTGGGGAGTGGTAGTAGATAATCGCTCTTGTGTATATTGTCCAAGTTTTACTTCTGACGTGCTTTCCAGAGTTAGGCCTGAATCTCCATGAATTCTTCTGCAAATAAGTTGGAATACAGTCTTACGGACACTTCTGGACATTAGGAAATACATAACTGGGTCTAAGCAGCTGTTAAAAGATGAAAATATGAGCATCACCTCATTGCATTTGTGGATGATTTCCTTCCAATAACAAGATGGATTTTGTAACTGTGATGTAATGTAGACAAACCGGAACATGTGGTAAGGAACAAAACAGATGGTGAAAATAATGAGTACAATGAAGGAATTCCTTGCTGTCTGGGTGTATTTTCCTGCGTTGGGAAAATTTGCTCTTTTCTTCGAAATTTTCAGAAGGTTCTTGGCAATTTTAACATATGAAAGTATCAAAAGGAAAAAAACTATCCAAAAAATGATTACAATAATATAATTTAAAATTGCTTCTGTCTTTGCATTCTGTTTATTTCGGTAATGAAAGCACATAGTAGAATTGCTGTCCTCACTCTTAAAGAAAGATGGTGCAACTACTATTATAAATCCTGTTAGTGCAAGTGTCCACACAATGCAACAAATATGTATACTTCGTGTGGTAGTTAACATTTTAGGACGCTTCACAGACTTATTTATTTTTACATAACGATCTAGACTAATTAGTCCCAACAGTACTATGCTAATATACATGTTCGTATAAAATAGAGTTCCTACAATCTTGCATAAAATCAGTCCAAACATCCAGGTGTTTTTGGTAACGTGATAGAGTATTCGGAAAGGAAGACAGAAGATCAGCAGAAGGTCTGCAATGGCTACATTTAGCAAGTAAACTTGGATAGAATTCCTTTTCTGATGAATGCACAGGAAAGCAAACAGGGCTATAATGTTTCCAACCAATCCAATGACAAAAATAACAGAGTAAAAAACTATCAAAGCAAGTGACAGTGAGTTGTCGTCTAAGGTACAACTGGCATTGTTTTGAATTTCTGAGGCATTTGTGGGTAGATTAGTTTGGTTACTCCAGAAGACTTCCTCGTACGGCAGAATGGTCAGTAAATCAGCTGAAGCTGCAGCCATTTGTGAGGATTTTTTTAGCTGTTCTGTAGGGATGCAAAGAGAATTTTTAAGAATTAGATCGCCATGGGGCCATTTTTCACGTGTTTGCTTGCTTTATTGCATACAGTCTTATGTGATACAAACGCAAAAGGCAGTGACTAAAAAAAGTAAATGCACCGAAGTATCGCTGTAGCTGAGTAGAAGGAGGACTTTCAGCCAGATATCATGATACAGTGTAAGTCTAGAATAATCGGTTCCCTGTTTTTCTTCACGTGAAGTAGGCAAGAACAGATGGTACAGAGCACTCACACAGATAACTATTTTTGTAATTACATCTATTACTGCCTTGTATTGTTTTAAAAATCAACTATTATGTTTTGTTGCAGATTTTAGAAATTTAAATTTGTTTTATCTCTAAGTATGAATAATTTTTTTTAAGTTCTGATATTAGGATTAGTCTTTCTGACACAGTAAACTTTTAAATTAAGATGCAAAAAAGGGTAAGCATAGCTAAGTGAAGTATTCTCGGTGTTGATACAAAGTACATAGAAATATACCAAAATTCTAAACTCATCAGAATTAATTTTAAATAAGTACCCAGGATCTCTTGCATGCAAGTCATAGTTTTCAATTAGAAAAGCAATTGTCAATTAATATTTATTTGGCTATGTAATGTGTTATAAGTAACACTATGAGATCAGTACTATTACAGTAGCTTGTTTTTAATAATTTATATCTTCATGTAAATTTAAGTATTTTTTCCTTTTCTTGACTGTTCAAAAACCAATATTATGCAAAGAAACTAATATTAGCTGGAAACCACATTAATGCAGTGACAGATTGTTTTCACATCTTCCTTGTTTTCATTTCAACGTTTTTAATTTCACTAAGCTTATTTCTAACCAGGAAGGTACAATTTGGAAGAGAAAAGTCAGCTTTGAGCAAAGAAGGAAAACCAAAAAAGTGTGTGGTTAGGAGAGTGGAATCACAATGAGCTCTTTAGAGAGATGGTTAAGACTGATGAGTAACGATACAACTTTTGTCATCAATTTGTATGGCATAGCAATAAAAGATTCCATAAATAAGTTTGTTTAGATTTTTTTTTTTTTAAAGGGGCAAGGTTTTTTCCCCTAATATCACAATATCTTCAGAATTGGTTTTGGTACTATGAACTTAGTTGTCTAACAACAGTAACAAGAAAAAAACAACAACAAAATTTGCATGCCAGGTCTTAAAAATGCAAATTTACACTTAAATGTGTGATATAGCTACAGCAGTGAAAACGGCAGCATTTTAGGTAAAATTCTTAGTAAGACCTAACGTACGTACAGAATCTGAATTATTGAGAGGCAGTCTAAAACATTTTAACATCCTACATTAGCTAACCTTACAATTTCATTTAATTTGTACAATATGTTAGCAGTTTTTAAAGTATTTCTGTTTTCATATTTGGCATTTCATATTGTCAGGGCAAGAAGTGATTTTAAAAGTTTGTTTAAAAAACGATGCTTTCAAATACATCTTGAAACCTATCTACTACTATAATTTCTTGTTTATGTTGCTTTTCTATAAAAATGCTTGACATCATGAGTTGCATAAGTAGTGACAAGTTCTAGGTCAATGAGAGAGATAAAAATTTAATTACACTGCAGATACATTAGAAACATAACCTTTAGCTTTCATCAGTTTTGTCATCTGTAAGCAAGCAGGCATGCTTAAACATAGGTGTATTTAAGAAAGGGTTTGAAGGTCAGCAGTACCTTTGCAGTTAAGAGAAATTTTAATAAACATTTGTTTTACTATAGCTTAAATATAAAAGAAGCCACTTACCATTTATATATCGAGAACTTCTGCTGAATTTCAAAACCGCTGGGTGAAGACAGGGAGGAGTAACATGCAAGTCCTCTTATTAGAAAGCTAAAGTACCAGCTTCTCTATGAAAATGATAAGAATCAGCTGACACAGTACAACTAGCAACAAGGGGAAGTTTTGCTAGTGTTGCAACTGGGTTTTTTTAAAGATATTTTTAACTAGCAAAACTCAGTCTATTGAAAAGATCAATTTTGCTGTTAATTTGGGCTTTGCTGGGAGAGGTTCTATAATAAAGTTTTCTCTGATTTTCACTCTGAATTGGAAATTTGTTTTTTTTTTTCTCATAAACTTTGTTTCTGGTGAGCAGTGTCAGTGGCTTCCTTTTTGAATGACAATTATGTTGGTACAGCCTGTCTTCTTTTTAATACTGTCATGGAAATAGTATCACTTTCTCAAATGTGGGGCAAAGAGAAATCAACACCACAGTGAAATGGTACATTTTGTTTCTGTTGGTGTAGTTCTTCCATCTATTTTCCTCCTTGCCTGGGGTTAGAAATTTGAGGTTGATCTTTTTCACGCAAAATGACAGCGATGAGAGAATGTGAAAGTGCCCAAAGTGTGCAGCTTAACAATTTCAATAAGGCAGAAGTGAAATACAATATTCAGAGATAATACCACCTGGTAATACTATTTTAAATAGAATGTAAAGGATTGAAAATTACATTTATAAATTGCAAATGTATAAATGGATCCTAGAAGTTCTGATAGAAGGTAGCCTAAATTTAACGATCATCTCAAGAACATTGTCTTGACTTAGTATTCTCCTTAGCATTTGAAATGAGACTTTCCACGTTAACTTTCTTAATATATCGTCTGTTTAGGAATCAAGCTTTTATGGGATTCTGCAGATTTCGGTTAGAATTGTGAACAGGCTATGCATTCTTACTTGAAGGTGCTTGTTCTCATACACTTGAAACTTTTTAAAAGAAAACATGGGTGGTTACAGATGATGACTTTACAGGTAGTCAGATTGAGCTTGTTGTAGCTCCTTTGCATTATTTTGAGTTCCTGGTTTTGTAATTTAAGCAGTAATGTGTTCTCAAGAAGCAGTATACAAATTTGACATTCTTCCTTTTAAATAATATGGTTGACTGCAAAGGGAAGCTTTGAGTAAATGCAGGAAGTCACTCTACATTAAATGCAGTAGTCTGGCTGTGTGTATTAAATGCTAAATTGTGTTCGAATAGATTTTGTCTGTATGTTGCTTCCTCATACACCAGTCGGTATCCATCCAAATTGTTGTATAATACTATTCCATTTTTATACATTACCCCTCACTCTTATTAGTTGAAAGACTGTGCCTGGAATCCAGTTTAGAAACCTAAACAATTTCCCTCTCACTGCAATATTTATTAGAAACATCACAGGGATGTTCCTTTTCTTTTCTGCAGTTGGAGAGTGACCAGTGAATTCTGTGATTAAGGCTCAAAATAGTGTTTTACGTTCTCTGTGTGAAGGATAAGATCCCACAAAGTGTCTCATAGGCAGGATGTTTCTGCTGGAGAATTGAAACAGTGTAAGGCTTAAGGGTGGAAGGTAAAAAGAAAAAGTAATACCAGTTAAGAAATTATAGGCATTAATTTCCATTTTATTATGATTTCACTTTGTTCTTTGCGAGTTCTGTTAAGTCCTGAAAGGATTTTGCTGTGCCTGGGACATTTGAAAGGGAAGCCAATGAAGAAGGAGGAGTCCATGCCAGAAAAAAAAATCTGAAATTAAGAAAATCTTTCAAAAATCCCCAAAGATTCTAGCTCCTGTTTGCAAATGTATGAAAACAAGTTCTAAAATGCAAATTGTATTTCTCAAATAATATAATAATTTGTCTGGATTTTTGTCTTTTCAGCCACACTGTGTACTGCTTGCCTCAAAAGAGAATTCAGCCCCAGTAAAGCTTGGTGGTTTTGGGGTAGCAATTCAGTTAGGAGAGTCTGGGCTAGTTGCTGGAGGTAAGACATTTTCCTTCGAAGTCATATAATATTATGCATGTTGTACTGCAGAGTTCTGTTCTTCCGACACAGCCTGGCCTACAAAACAAGAACTCAAAAATAGTATTTCACTAAAGACTTTGTTAACATTATAAATGCACACAGTTAATCTAAATTGCTAGTAGAATGTAACATTGTTGTGCATATATACACTGAGTATTAAATCCCTCTAAATGTTACTCAACAGGAGCTTATGCTGGTTTGATCAAAATAAAATTGAAAGAAACAAAGAATTTTCCATTTTAATGCAATCTTTGGCATAATTCTTCCATGCTTGACAAAGCAAATCAAATGAAAATGCTACCAAGTTTGAAATGTATGTCAAAGCAATTGAGTAAGGACTTACTACAGCATCCTCAATGCTCCCCTATGTTTCTTAGGCAATTTCTGTTAGAATGCTACGCTGTTTAATAGCAAAATCTTACTAGTTTTCACATGTGACTCTTTTCTGTGTTTTAATATTTCATTGTAATTATTGCATAAGACATCAATATCTTGATACATACGTATATTTTTTGACTAAGTGTGTTTTGTTTTCTGTGGATTTTATTTCCTCTAGCTGCCTTCCATATTGTTCCAGACAATAGGGTTATGCTTTAATCAGCCTGCACAGATGAAGACCCAATCAATTTTCTGATGCTTTCATTGCCAGAGTAGGAGACCACAACAAAAGATTTTGTTCATTTTAATTTTTTTCTTCAAAACAAGTAACTTCCTCTCAGTACCGTGCTTCTTCATAAACTCAGATTTCCTAATCTAATTACTTAAAGGTCTGCGTCAATTTGGCTTTTATACGCTCTTTAAAATAAAAAGCAAATCCAACGTAAGAGTACCAACAGCTTCCATTCTCTTCCAGATATCACTAATACCCTGGAAATATCCAGGTATCTTATTACCTAGAGACCTAGATACATCTTTTCAAAGAAAATATCCATTCAGTTAAGCTGCTGTTGTTTCCTTAATAAAAAGGTCACTCCTTTCTTTACTTTTCCTGTGTTTCTCAAATTTTCTGTACCTCAGCCACTGCTTTTTTTAGTGATAGTTCCTACACTTTTGTTTATGATTCTCTCGTTTTTCTTCTTTATATTCTCACTGAGCAATTTCATCCATTTCTTCTGTTTCAGCTACTCTTCTGGAGGTAGTCAGATACAGCGTGCTTTCTTTCAGACTACTAGCTGTCTCGCAAGAAACCTCAAGTTCAACTTGGAAAAAAAATCCTGCTTTTTTCCACAAATTTGTCATGTCCTTCCTTTCCTGTTACCGTTCACTGTTCTGCAATCCCACTCATCATTCATGTGCTCAACCTCCATGCGGTTATCAGTACTGGTCTGATCTTTCCTTTTCTGTGTAAAAATGTTTTCATTCCTTTCTGGTTCTGTTTGCAGTACTTACAAAAGCTTCTTTCTTAAGCATCAGCAATATAATATTTCTCTCTAGCTGCATCTTTTGCCTTATCCATCTCAACTTCTGCCATATTAGTCTGCCTTCATATTTTTTTTTTCCTCTCTCTCAACTGTCATTTCCAATTTGTAGCCTTTTCGCTAGCACTTGTTACTTTCAGCTTCACATTCCTCTCGCTTTCAGGGATACCCAGAGTAATTCCACTTCATTTATAGACCATGGAAGGTCTCAGTTCTACTAGTTGTTTCAAGCTTTCTCCTTAACAGACTCCTTATCTCTTTCCTCTCATCTTCCATTCTGGTCTTTATACCACAAACTACGTCTGTTATCTGGCAATTCTTTTCCCTTCCAGAGTCCTACCTGAAGGCATATTACTAGACAGTCCCCTACACAACACTTGCAAGATTTTATTTCTTCAACTTTACAATATCACCCCATATGTGTTATATGAAAGTTAACGATACTGTCTGTTTGAACTGGGCTATAAATTTCTTGTAAAAAAAATTGTCTATCTACATATTTGTTTAAGTAAGTTATCCATATGCCCTATGGATAAGTTTTGTTTGGTAATAATAATTACAGGCATTACTTATTTGTCAATTGTCTCCTAAATGAAATAGAAGCTCTCCTTATAGAGAAGTTTAAGCAGTATAATAACCAACCTGTTCGCTTTCACATTCTTTTTCTAATTTTTAGTGAAAAACATTGATTCAGCTTAACACAGTCAATTATTTCCCTTTCAGTATGGCAATTCCTGTATTTGATGGTTAACACATCAAAAAAGAAATTCTCTTATTAAAGAAGAGCTATTATGGCATTAAAGTTCTCTTACTGACCCTAAACCCCCCTGTCCTTCTAACCCATTTCAGTGCTCAGTACACCTTAAAAATTTTACAATACTGAAAACACACTGCCTTATACTTACAGAAAGTGCAATACTTATTAGTCTTTCTGTATCTAGGTAATGTGTATTACCACGATACCCTAGCAGAATATACTCATTACTAGTGTAAATCCCTATGTAGATGACCCTGGTGTTCAAGAACAGAAATCTTTTATCTTTATTTTATGTTGCTTGGAGTAGTTTATCTTTTAAACCAGAAAAGGACAGCTTTCCTTTAGAAAAAGAATGTCAACATTGAAAGTAATGTAACTGTAGTAAAGTTCAACTGATAGGACTCTTCCCTTAATCTTGCATAAAAACCCAGCCATTATGCAAAAGCTCTTCAATATCTATGATGATCACTCTCTTTCGTGGTAGTATTTTTCTCCTAAAATAGGAGTTGCTATATCTAAAACATTCAGGGGTTACCAATGTTCTAAAATTGTTTTCTTGCTTTCATGCCTTTGCGTTTGTGCCATTTTGCTTACCTTTTTACATTGACACACCTGTGCCTGATGAGACCAGATTGTGTGTAGCCCAGAAGGACACAAATAGAAGGGAATTTTCTCCCTCGATGTCTTCGAAGCCTGCCTTCTAGGGTACAGCTCTTGCTTTGTTTGGGACTATGGAATTTGTTTAACTTAACAAAAGACATCTTTTTTTTCCACTGTGCGCAAATTGTTTTTTGGGGGAAAGGGGATTTCTGTAATAAAGTTAAACTAAGTCCCAGGTATTGAAAGTAGACCAGTCCCAATCTTTTGATGCAAGTCCAAAGATAGACTTGCATTGTTTAGAAGGATTATAACTACAGTGTTCTTTCGAGCAGATAGAGGGTTAACAGAAGTATAAAGGAACTCATGATAACAAGCTATGACATCATACTAGATGTCATTAATGAAAATGTCTGTGGAGTAGATTTTAGGAACAGGACTGTATTTTATCATCTAACAACCCAGTGGGGTTTAGTTTTAAGGGAGTTTAATTATTGTTAAGTAAGTACCAAAAAAAAGGACATAGCCATAACTCATTTTTCATAAGACCAGAAGGGAAATGTAAGGAAATACTTTTTGTTCCACCATGTTTGCCCATAAGCTGCAATGCAATGAATAAGAAGCATGTGTCATCTGAGTTACAGGAAATTGCTTTCATGAGCTACCAATCTCTGAAGGTCTCTTCTTGCAGTTCTTATGACCAGAAGTGGAAAATTTTGCTAAGTGTATTCATTTGAAGCATTGAAGTAGGTACTTTAAGATGGAATTCTGGCAGTATACACAGTAGTTACAGATCATCATAATTAATAAGTGAACTCTTTTATGGAACAGGATGTAGACAGGAAACAGTCCACGTTTGCATGGTTATGATGCAGCTGGAGTAGTGGAACCTCTAGGAAGTCACTGATTTAATAGAGCAATCTCACATTATGATCTCTCTCTTCTTCCTTGGACAATTTTTCTTTCAGAATGTGGTATGAATTGTCACAATATTTTCTTAGATGAATGTGACATCAGATTTATCAGATACCAAATATCTTGGATGCTAAATCTTGGGATTTTATATAGTATATGGTATAAAAGTCCGAAGGAACAAAAGCCATTGAGTCCAAAAGTGCTATTTCCTCCACTTAATCTACTTATTTTCTCCTGGTTTGAACTAGTGGAAAATAAGATATTAGGTATAGACCTAAATGGTACGAGGTTCTATACTAACTGTCAAGTCTTATCTATGGATAGTTAACTGCTTTTCACATTTTACCTTTAGCAGCAAAATGTCACAGGTACCATGATGCTAATCCAGTCCAGTATTGATTTTTATGTATTATTGGTTAGCTCCCTAAGTTGCTCCAGAATCCTGTAGTATGTTCAGGTATCCTAACACAACCATCATCATCTTACCTGAAAACATCCTATATGTTCTTAATAAAAATGTAGCACATGAATATCAAGTGTTCTTGGTTCTTTGTCAGCTAGCCTTTTAGACTTCCTACAAAAATAGCAAAGGAAGACATTACCATAAATTTCCCTGTAAATAAGACTATGGAATTTGGGGTGGTGTGGATCTTCTAAGTTCTTATTTTTGTTTTGTTCCCATCAATGTAAAAATGGTCGTAGAATGATAGAACAGTTTGGATTGGAAGGGACCTCTACAGGTCATCTAGTCCAACCCCCCTACAACGAGCAGGGACATCTTCAACTCGATCAGGTTGCTCAGAGCCCCGTCCAACCTGACCTTGAATGTTTCCAGGGATGGATGGGGCATCCACCACCTCTCAGGGCAGCCTGTGCCAGTTCACCAAACTGGATCTTCTTGGTGGTTTTATAAACCCCAGTTTAAAAACCATATTTTTGAAATGTTGTTTTTTTACACTGCATGGACTTTTTTTCCTTTTCATTATCAGTCTCTGAATGATATAGCAAATCTTTCTTTTGTTTTCCAAGGAGAGGTAAATGTTTGTAAGCTGAGGTCCTACACTAGTGTTCTTCTTTTACTTAAATGGTAGTGTTTCTTTCCTCTGCAAAGCAAGAGCACTATTTTACTATTTTTTTTTTCCTGAAAAATAAAAAAATGTGAGCCTCTTCAAAGCTTTGCCTCTGATAGACTTTGTTTTATTTAAAAGATACAATGTTGGCTTACTGTCTCTCAGAAATTCCACTTCACATCTAGGTCGATTTGAGACTGC